GCCCGCGAGCCGCCGTTCCCTTAGGAACCGACAGCGGGGCCGGGCCTCGTTCCCGCCCCTGGCGGAGGCCGGGGCTGGGTCACTCGGGGACGAGAAGCTCCCCGGGCGTACTCGCTCCCGGCCTACCCTCAGCCTCCGGCTCAGCTGCCGGGGGAGGAGCCGGGTCCCCGCGGAAACCCGGCCCCCGCCCTCGTCCCCGGGGACCCGGCTGAGCCCTCAGCGCTTCCCGCCCACGCCGCCCGCCAGCCCGCGGGACCTCAGCCCACCCCGTCGCTGCTGCAGACCCGGCGCCCCCTCCCCGCGGCTTCCGGCACTCCAGCCCCCGCCCGCCGCGCGTCTCCACGGGTTCCCAGACGTGCGCCCCCACCGGCCCCCGCTCCAGACGCGTGGCCCCCACTGCCTGCGGCTCCCGCCTTGACACGCGGCCCCCGCGTCTAGCAGTCCCAGCTTTCCCTGGGCTTCGCCTCTCATCCTCCTGCCCTGGAGGCGGGTGCCAGCACCTGCCCCACCGAAGATGGGGAGTCCCCCTCCCCGCCTTTCCTCGGCGGCCCGCGTGCCACCCCCGCGCCCATGCCGGCGCCCCCACCCCCAGGCCGGCCCTGTGCCGCAGCTCGCTCCCTGCGGTCCGCAGCAGGGCAGCCTCCGTCCTGCAAGCTCCGTCCAGACCCCCCAGGTGGCAGCCCCCTCGGGGGCACCTCGCCCCTCCGATGCTCGCGAGCAGCCGCCTTCCATTACAAACATGCATTCTCCTGATCCAGACGGGACATCTCTCACCTGTCAGTGCAGGCTGGCCTCCTTCTGTCCAGTCCCCCCACTCTCTTTTCACACCTTGCCCCAGGTTCACCCCCACGACTGAAGCCCGCCTTTCTACTTTACCACGCGTCCCATCAGGTCTCCCTCCCTAAAGCGCTGACCCTTTCCCCTCTTCACCCCATGTCTTCAGTTCTCAGTCTGCCTTTTCTGACCTGCTCCCCAACACACGGCTTCACCAATTCCCCCCAATCTGCAGGCAGGAGCTCCCTTGCCTCCTTACTGGTCCACTGCAGCCCCAGCTTCAGATGAGGCTGATGTCAGGGACTCAGGGTTCGTGTCCCTGCTGGACCGACAGACACAGCGCCGTCAGGAAGAGCAGGGGCATCCCCAGGTGACTTACCGCAGCCTGCTGGAGAGAGGCACCGAAGTTGAGCATGGTTGGCTATCTGACTGCCGGCGACGAAGTGACTGGCTGTTGGGGTGCTAGGCTGCTGAGCTGCCTGGCCACAGACGTGCGCCCAGAGACACCCGACGTCGCTCCCGCCGCCGCCGCGCTCCGCGCCGTCTGCCCCCTCCCCATTCAGGTAGCCTCTCTGCCTGCCCCGCGCCGCGGGCGGGGGCGGGGGCGGAGCCAGCGCCCAGCCAATCAGCAGCAAAGGTGTGTGAGGCACGGGCCAATGGGCGCGCGGGGCCACGCGTGATCAGCGGCTGCCCGGCAGCGTGAAGCTTGTGTCAGTGGAGCGTGTACACAATCCCCGGCAGCGTGTTCCCAGGGTCCGGCCCGGGGGAACTCCCGCCACCGGCTGATTCTGTGACACCCCTGCCCCTCGCCCACCCACCCCGCCCCTCGCGCGTTCATCCTCCCGGCCTCACGGAGCGCCGCTGCAGGCGGGGGCCGAGCAGGGAGCCGCGGCGGTGGCGCGCCCTGACTGCAGAGGGCCGGCCCCACGTGGGAGGTGGGGAGGGATGCCAGCTCCGCCCCGGCCCTCCGCGAGGGCCCCACCTCTGCCAGCCGTGTGGTGGGCGGGACGCCGGGTGGGTGAGAGGGGCGGTGGCTGCAAGCCGAGGGGGCCTGGCCAATAGATTTGCATTTGGAAGCCGCGTCCGGTGTGGTGCTTTTCTGTACCATTTGCAGGGCTTGGCCTCGTGGAGCCGTGGGGAGGACCGTAACGGGCGGCGCCCCAGTCGCTGGAGAGCGACACCTGCTCTTGCGCTGCCCGTGCGCTTCCGCCCTCTGTGTCGGCGGCGGCGCGGGCCCCCGTGCCCACCCCTGGCCGCCCAGTTCGGGGCTTTTCTCCTGGGCAGCCGAGAGGGGGTGAGAGGACTGCAGAAAGCCGTGAGAACTGGCCTGGTGAGGAAACTAAGGCTACAGTCTTTATCCTTCTCTGTCGGCCACAGTGGGCTGCGGGGATCGAGTTTTGAGCCTGGTGTAGATAAAAACTTTAAAGTGAGATCTGTAGATTGTTTCGGAGGTAGATCCACCCCTCCTCCGGCCAAGGCCCAGCCTAGAAATCTTCATTGGATTATCTTCTAGTTCACCAAGCACCGAGGTGTATTTGTGTGGAGGTGTATTTGTGTGGGGGTGCGGAGGAGATTCCCGCCACATCAAAGACATCACGCAACCCCCCTTAGCTCGAGCTCCTCCTCCCTGTCGAGTCAAGTGCAGGCGGGGCTTCTGCGAAGAATCCCACATGGTAGTCGGCTCCATGGCGGTTCCTGCAGCCGCAACTTCCTGATCGGATTCGGCTTGGATTCCCAGTTTGTCCCTTTTTGGTGCTTTCTCTCGGCAACTGGTGTTGGAGAAAAAGGCAGTGGCAAAGGAGATTTTTATCACCTCCTTTGGCCAGGCTGAACACCAGACAAAAATTAACTGCCCCTCGGGGGAGTAAGTAGTCTCACGTCTCTGTGTAACTGAAAAGAGAGCAAGACTCTTTTCTCCCCTTTAACCACAAAGTGCACTTGAAGGGAGATTAAGGTTTTTAGAAAGTGCCAAATCCAGAAACATCTAATTGGGTTCTTTCTAGTACATCTAGAGACGCAGGCTAGACAAGAATACTAGTGATAATAGTGGCCAGAGGGGAAGTGGACTGAATGGCCTGTCGCTGGCTTCCCTGAGAAGCTGGAGAAGTGCCAACTCAGCAGCCCAGGCAGCGTTTCCTGCCGCCCACCTCCTCCCATCCCCACTTCTGTCTGCAGGGGTGTCCCTCGCTGCAGGCTTCCTTCCGCCCAGGCTGCCCCATCCTGTTGATGGAAGCCTGAGGGGCTGGAGCAGCTGGCTCTGACCACCTGCTGCAGTGGGGGAAGCTTCCATCTGTACCCAGCCGGCAGGCCTGCCTTCCTTCCTGTGGGGGGCCAGTCCCCCTGGAGGTGGCCACAATCTCCCCAGTCCTGAACCTAATTCCTCCCTCAGGAATGTGGAGCCTTGCTGGCATGGGGCCCCCAGCAGACTGAGAAGCATTCTTGCCTGGTGGGAGTGATTCAAAACAAGAAAAGAAAAAAGAAAAAAAAAGGATAGGAGGAACAGTGTGGTGGTAGCAATTCCTAGAGGTTCCTTCAAGAAAGATGTTCCCAGGCACCGCAGACTCAACCAAAAAAGAAAGCTGTGCTTTCTACTCCTTCCTGCTACAGATTCCTCTCTTCCCTCTCCATTCAGCCTTCATCTTCTCCCACAAAGCTCCAAATCCATTGATCCCCAAGTCCCAGCAATGGTGCCTCTTCTTCCTCACCTGCCATTTTCTACTCCACGCACTTTGCTCTGGGTCCAAAGTGCTCTGCGTCCGACTGTCATTAACTTTTGCTGAGATGAAAAACTCTGCAGTCCCCCAGCCCAGCCACCACTCCCACCCTGGATGGGTTTCAGTGCTCAAACTCCACATTGCTACCAGAATGACTTCTTCAAAATCATATTCTTGTCATGACACTCCTGGCATAAAAGTGATCCAAGGTCCCCTTCTGCCTAGGAGATAAAAGGCAGAGATGCACCTGCCCCCTAACTCTCTCAATCTCACCCCAAGCCAAGACACACCCTTGCCCACAGCTACAGCAAACTTGCTGTTCCTCAAACATGTACATTCCACGTCTCTACGCCACTTCCTCATTCAATACGCATTAGCTAGCACTTGCTTTTGTTCACCCATCTACTCAATTAATTCAACTAAGTATTTATTGATCATCGATGGTGGTCTATAGCTTACAGTGCTGTGGTACTAGAGACATTCTCACCAATGTCAGATGGATCTTGGCTGAAAGCAAAAAGTATCAGCAGAGGTCTATTTGTGTTTCAGTGACTGTGCAAAGGCATTTAACTGTGTGAATAACAACAACAACAACAACAAAAAAGTGGCTAACTTTGAGAAGATTAGGGATCCCAGAACACTTGATTGTGCTCATGTGAAACCTATATTTGGACCAGAAAACTGTTGTCAGAACAGAGAAAGAAAACACTTGCTTGGTTCAAAATTAGGAATAGAGTGTTTCAAGGATGCGTCCTCTCTCCATACGTTTTAGCCTGTTTGAGGAACAGATCATTCAGGAGGTTGGACTTTAAGAAGAAGAATGTGGCATCTGGATTGGAGGAAGACTCATTAATAACCTGCATTATGCAGTTGACACAACCTTTGCTTGCTGAAACTGTGGAGGACCTGAAGTGTTTGCTCCAGAAGGTCGTGGATTATAGTCTTCAATATGGATTAAAATTCAACATCAAGAAGACAAAAGAGTCTCACACTGGGCCAATTGGCAGCACCATGATAGATGGAAAAGAGATTGAAGTTGTTAACAATTGCAACTTGCTCGGCTTCATAATCAACACTGTTGGCACCAGCAGTCAGGGAATCAAAAGATGAATTGCATTAGGGAAGTTTGCTTTCAGTGACCTCTCCAAAGTTCTAAAGAGCAATGATGTAATTCTAGAGACTAAGGTACACCTGCTTCATGCTATGGTCTTCATAATTACTTGCTATGTGTCAGAGAGCTAGACAATGACTAAGGATGACAGAAGAAGAGTCAATGCCTTTGAGTTCTGGTTCTGGAGAAGAGTATTGAACATACCATCCACAAAGAGAATAAACAAGTCTGTTTTGGAGAGGGTGAAACCAAGCTGTTCCTTGGAGGCAAGGATTCTGAAGTTCCATTTCATAAACTTAGGGCACGTGGCCAGGAGGGACCAGTCCCAGGTGAAGGAAGTCATGCTTGGAGGGGTGAAAGGATAGCACAGGAGAGGAAAACCCTGGATTAGATGGATTGACACTGTAACTGGAGGTAGGTGTGTCAGTCTGTGGAAATGGCTCAGAATAGGGTAAGATTCACAGGTATTGTACTTAGGGTCCCTATGAACTGCAGGCAACTTGATGGCACAGAACAGCAGCATGGTGACCTATAGATGGACAATGGATAAAGGATGACAGCAGAAGGATTGATGCCTTTGAATTGTGTTGGTGAAGAGTATTGAATATCCCAGGAACAACCAAAAAAGAATTGCAACCAGGGTGTTCTTTAGAGGCAAGGTTGGTGAAATTTCATCTCATTTACTTTCGGTACATTTTTAGGACCCAGTCTTTGGAGAGGTTCTTATCATTCTGGGTAAGGTTGAAGGTCAGCAAAAGAGAGGAAAACCCTCAACAAGGTGGATTAACATGGGTGATAAAAGCAGGAAGGCAATATGGTTGTGTCTAGGTTTGGTTTAGGAGATGAGAAAAATTTACTCTGAGAGACTTTTAAGCTTTAAGGCCTAATGAAAGTCATAGGAAAGCCTGGAGAAAGTGCCGTTTTCTCACACAGCAGAAAGGAATGTGGCCAATCCAACCACATGGGGCAGTGTGGCTGGAGGTATAAGCATGCTGGGGGACAGTGGGAGGGAACAAGCTTGCACTGTGAGGCCGGAGAAGCCAGCTGGCTGAGGAATTTACAAGTCACAGTATTAGAACTGGATTTTCTTTAAAGTGCTGTTGGAGGTTAGGGCCGTTGTACAGAAGAAATGTCCATTATTAATTACTCTTGAAGAGCCCTTTGGTCTTCCTCATTTTCACCAGCTTTGTTCCCTGTCTTTGTACTGAAGCCTTCCTTGGGAACTCCAGGATAAATTCACTGTGCTCATGCCGCTTTGTCTTTCACTGGAGAGGAGCATTCACCATGGCTTATTCTAAGTGAAAGACAGGAAGACTCTCATCAAGATGAACCCACACAGTGACTGTAACAATGGTCTTTAGCATGTCAGAAATGGTGAACATGGCACAGGACACAGGATAAGATTCAGATCTATTGTTCATAGCATCGCTATGAGTCAGAGCCAACTCCATGGCACCTAACAACAACAAAAATAACATTGTAAGGATGATAGGAGAATTGATGCCTTTGAGCTGTGGTGCTGGAAACGAGTATTGAATGTACCATGGACTGCCAGGAGAACAAACAAGTTCATCATCCTAGAGAGGGTGAGATTAAGCTGCTCCTTGGAGGCAAGGACTCTGAAGCTCCATCTGACATACTTTGGACATGTTGCAAGGCGGGATCA